TTATTTATTAAAAAAAATCTATAAATATTAATTAAAAGAAGAATAAAAAATAATTTTGTATCTTTATAATTATTTATATTAAAAATAATATTTTTAATAAAATTGAACTAATTTTATTATTATTAAAAAAACACAAAGATTAAAAAATATGACCTTAAATTGATACTAAAATTATAAAAAAATATATATATAAAATAAAATTTATTTAAATTTTATTTAGAATTATTTAGGAATTTTTAGAAAACATTTCAAGATTTTTGGTAAAATTGAATTTTTTCACCTTGGGAGCTATTATGAAGAAATTGAGCAAGATTTGAAGGTCACACAAGGTTTCTAAAATAATTGGATGTTTTGAACAATATCATGTAGTCAAAAATGTAAAAATATTAGATTTATTTATTTACTTACTATCTTTAAATCTTCAAAACTTACTCATAGCAATTCAGATTTATATGTTTCTTACATCATTAAAAAAAATAAAAAATATATTTCTAAAAATATATTCTTAAACTTTAAACTTTTATTTTTTATTAGATAAAAACTCAATGAATAAATTATGACCAAATTTTAGAATGTATAATTGCTTGATTTTATTTATTTTACTTATTTTATATTTCTTCTTCTTTTTCTTTTATTACTTGCTTCTTTCACTTCACATCACTAATTACAAGTAACTCTTAATTGAGGCCATCTTGTAATTTTGATTAAGTGTCATGGACATATATATTTATTTCAATAATTACTTATATGATTAAATTTAAGTAGATAAAAATGAATTATTTTTATAACATATTTTAGAAAAGCTTCCTAAAAGCTTCATAGATGTAGTTTTGACTTTAGATATGTTAATAGTTAATTGGTAGGTTAAAAACTTAGTCAAAAAGTTAACCACATGTCATATGTGCTGGTAGCTTACAGAACAAGCTAACTATGTGGCGCACATATAGAAAACTTGCCTTGCAAGTTAAGATATATGTTTTGCAAAGTCAACACGTATTAGAGGTCTTATAGAACATTGTCACGTAGCTCCTAATAGATAGTATATATGGAGGCAAGAGTGAAGTCTTCTTCACTCTTCTCAATGCTTTTGTAGTCTTTAGTCTTGTTTCAAGGCTTTTTAGTCTTCTTGTCTTTGGTAATAGCCATTCTAGTTTAATATTATATCATCTTTTAGTGATTTTTTCGTCTTTTTGAGTGATACAAGAGTATATTGATCTTTTAGTTTTTTGATGTTTATGTCCTTGATATTAAGGGGTGAAGTTCATCTTCACACCATGCTTTTTATTTTATAATTGTATTACTTCTTTGGACAATGTTAAGCAATGAATTTAGATTCTATATGATATAAAAATAATTTGTTTTAACAACATCAAGTCTTTTTTTGCTCAATAAAAGGTTTAAAAAATAATATGTCAATTTGCATGTTTTTTTACTTTTAAAGATATTTATTGAAAAGATGTTGGAATTGCCATTGAAATGTAAAAATAATAAGGCTAGCATGTGCAACTTTCATATCAATATTCAAAGAGCCACTTGTCACACTTTACAACAAAGTTAGTTGCATGACTCAATGTTCGAGGATTGAATAATTTTAGCATCAATTTCTTTACTTCATATTATAATCTATAGAAAAACTAATTAATGAGTGTATAATTATTATACTTAATATCAAATATAACTTGTGAAGTTATGAAGTATATATTTTTTCTAAAACAATTCTTTGACAAAAAATTAAAATATTATTAATCGCAATACAAATTGCATCAAATTTTTCATATATGGATTAAGTTTCTACCAAAAAAGTCTCCAAATTATTCAATATTAGATCATATTATTTAAAAATAAAATAAATAAAAATAAATAAAAATAAATAAATCATAATAAAATAAAACTTGAAACTATGTCATAATAAACTTGATTTATTATCCTAGAGTTAAATAACTTTGAGATTAGAGCTCAATTATAAAATAATTTTAATTAATAAATCTTCACAACTTTGATTGTGTTCTATCAAACTTCTCAGCTATGGCAATTCTTAGTTTTTTGACATTTGAATATTGTTCCACCATGTGATAAATAATATTTTTTGGTGTAAATATCAAAACAACTCTAATTATCTTTATATCTTTATTTCCAACCAATCTTGTTATTCCTTGTGGAAGTAAATTGAGTTGATCAATTGCAAGCATTAACTCCATCATTTGCTCTTGTATTTGTCCCATTGCACTTTTTATTTCAACAAGTTATGTCATAATAATACAATAAAAAATAATAAAATAATAAAAAAATCTAATATCACTTGAAATAAGTAAAAGAAAGGACTTAAGAATAAATAAAATAAAATAAAAAAAAAATTAAGAAACATAAGCAATTTAAAAATAGATAATTTAAAATTTCTAGTATATTTATGTTTTATCAAAATAATAATAATAATAATAATAATAATAATAATAATAATAATAAATTAAGAAAAGACAAATATTTGATATTGTAAGTTAACTCTTATTAATCTATCAAGGACAAGAACTTGAAGATTGAAAAAACAAACAAATAAGATGTGCCTCATAGAAAGATGTCAAAAAATAAATGAAAAAATATATATATATATATATATATATATATATATTAGAACAACTATTGTTAAGACAAGAAAGCTATGGATTCTTGAAACTAGACTAGAAGAAAAAAAAAAAAAAAAAAAAAAAAAAAAAAAAAAAAAATTAAGAATGAGGAAGGTCTCACTCTTGCCTCTATATATACTACCTAGTTAGGAGCTTTGTAATGATATTCTACAGGACCTCCAATAAATGTCCAACTTATGAAACATATATCTAACTTACAATGAGATTTTTCTACATGTGCACCACTTGGCCAACTTGTATTATAAGTAGCCAACATGGGTGACATTTGGCTAACTTATTCGCCAAGTTTCAACTTATCTATAATCTACAGATACATTTAAAGTCAAATTTGCTTATATAAAGCTTCTATGAAGCTTGTTCACAACATATTATATAATTTATTTATTTTTATTTATCTCTATTTAATTACTTTTATTTAAATAATTATAAATATTGACTAAGTTTTAAAAATAATTTTATCTTATCTTTTAAAAATTAATCTAAATATCTTAAATCATGATTGATTAAATACAATAATTGAATATTTAAACATATTCAAAACATATGTCTATATATGTTTGTTTATATGCATCCATTCAAAAGACATTATATCTCTTCATAAGTCTATCCACCTAAGAATTTATCCAAAATTATTAGTTCATTCTTAATTCTTTTTATTATCTTAATAAATAATGAAAGTAGGGGAAAAATTAATATTTAAAGGTAATACCAAGAGCTGTTCTTTACAGACTTTAATATCAACCTCCTTCATAAGCATTTAGAGTTTTATTGCTTTACCATGTAGCTCTTAAATTAAAACAAAAGACTTTAATAATAGTACACATTATATACATATCTATAAACACTATTTGCAAAACCAACAATTTATTGTCTTTAAGTTTATTAAAAAAAATCAAACATCTTTTTTTGAAAGCTTTTGTATCAAGAACTTCTTTTTCAAATTTCTAAAAAAAAAATGTGTGCACAAAGATGTATATAGATAAAAATAAAATTCAAAAAACTACTACATAAGTTGTAATTGAATTATATTTAAGTAGTATCAAAGTAATCATAGCTTATTGCATATTGATCAAGAAGATGCAACTATTATTATATTTTATTGTGAAATTTAATCATTTTAAACTACAAAGCTTTTAGAAAGACAATGGTAACAAAAAAATTATAACACACTTACTAAAAGGTGAACTGACATTGATATCTATATATATATATATATATACACACACAGACAAATCAATAGTTGATTAAAATAGTAAGGTGGGGGAATATCAAAATATCTTGTTTTCACTTATGTATTGCATTCAAAATCCAAGACTTAACGTAGATATTCTAACACTACTGGGATACTCTCATAAAAAATAAACAGTAATAAGGAAAATGAAAAACCTAAATAAGTGATATATGCAGATCATGAAGTAGAACTTTATCGCTGTACTGGCACGTCATCATCCAGTCACACTGCACAGCATGCAAAGACCTGCCGCATGGAATCTGACGTGGCACCAAAGTCCAACGATGCACATTCAGGGGACATTTTCCACGTCACCCACGTCGTTCCCGCTCATTCATCCTTATCTACGAGCACAGATCTTTACTTCCAGATCAGCATCGTCGGGTCTGTGTGGCCAGGCAAGGAACTTGGGCCGTTGGATCCGCCAGCCTGGCACATATGGGTGCAGCGGTGGCAGCGTTTGGGTGCGTTGGAGAATGGGCTGAGGGCCATGGCATGGCAAGTTGAAGGCATGGGTTCACGGCTTAGTCTGGTCAGCAGCTCATTGAGTTTGTAAATATTTAAATCTGGACCTTACACTAATATTCTATTTATTTTATTTTATTTTTTGTTAGCAAAACGTGATAAAACTGAGGTGGTCATTCGAAGTAAATATTATTTGGGAATAATGTTGAACACTAGTCATTAGTATTGGTGTTTTGGTACTTGAGCCTATACTAAGATCAATGAAATCGTACAACAGCCTTCAAATTTGTCAAATATTGAATATGTTGTAACACTTTGATAAATTTATTTGTTCACTACTAAGTGCATTTTAGCCATAAAACCAGAACACATAAGATGAACTAAAAAGACATTGTTTATTGCATATTGAAAAGGTACAAGAAAGTTTATTATTTCATGTCACAAATCTACACCTCACACTTGTAAAGAGTACATATAAATACATAATACATTTAATTCAATGGATGCAAATAACATCTTCTGTAGAATGACACGTTCAATGTGATTTTTACATACATATACAACTTACTTCAACATTTTACATAAACCACATACCAGCATGTAAACAGGTCAAGCGCTTATTCTAATTTATTTATAAAAAATTAGGCTCCGCATCGAGATATCACACTCGCTTCACGGTTTGAGCGCTTGCACTAGTCGATTGCGTTGGCCTTCACTTGTAGCTCCTAGATATTTCTGCTTTCGTCCCATTTGGGTTGTGTTGTATTGTGCTTACCGCTGTAGAGCTCAGTTGGGCTGATCCCCGTGTAGGTGCGAACTAGTAGATCGAAGGTGGTGGAAAGCCTCCGGTGCAGTGTGTGTTGCAAAGACGTTGTATTATGTGATGAGTAGGGAGTTGCCATCTTTGGATTGTGCTTGGGTAACTCCCCTCGATCTTAGAGGCTGCATTCTGTGTCTCGTCGCAGAAATAATTTGAATTCGGATTGTCTGGAAGTTAACGCTGCGTAACAGCATGGGGTCGTTAATGCCCGGGTGGGATATCCTTCTAGATCCTCAGAAAGGTGAGTAATTCTACTACGAAATTATGTTTCTCTTGAGCAGTTCCTACGTATTTACGTAACACGTTCGTCTGCGCTAAATAGGAGGTCTTTCACTCCATATCCCAAATATAGCTTGAATTGAAGAAGAGATTTGGATCTAAGACATGATTCGTGAGCGCAGTAATGAAGAGGAGCAAGACATCCATGACGAACGAGGAGATAGAAGCGTTTTGGCGCCACAAGCAACAAGAGATAGAACTCCATGCCAAGAAAGACGACGATCGGAATGCGAATTCCCTGCTGGTAAGTTGACCATACTTTAAAATTTCTCTCAAATTACCATTGCATCGGAGCGTCACACCCTCGTATCCTGTCAGGTGAATAGCTCGAACCATGACATCTGCAACCAATGTCTCCTCCAGTGATCAACTTAAGATCCCACGAGAAGCAGCTCTTGTTTGTGTCTGAGTACGCGTCGGTCAGCGGAGAAAACTTAACTTCTATGAGGAAATAGGTGCGAGAGAATCACCGGAATCGCTGCAGTATGCAACTTCGTGAATGCGTATACTATTTTTTTGTAGTCAGAAACGTCCACCCAAGAAACTAAGAAAAGGTTTGCAGAAGCTAACGTCTGCAGCAAACGATGCTCGAGTTGTATCCACCAAGAGACTTTGGGCACTGGCAGAAATTTAGTTGACTTCCTAGGCTTCGGTACACGAATGTGAAACTTCATAGCAACTGTTGAAGCACAGAGAAACAAAGCTAGTTTGCTAGTTTGCTAAACCAAATTCTACTGGAAGCTTGCGGGACTGACACAGGCGGCATTATGTTTCCAGAATGCGAATGAAACGAAGCAGACGACGACGGTAGTTACCGCTGACGGAGCCACGACACACGAAGCGGTGGTCGAGCTGACGCAGCCTCTCGCAAGTAGCCGTGACTGGTAAGCTTCTTGGACCTCATTCCAGAGTTTCTTCTTCCCTAGAATAGTACACAACACTGGATATGATTCCACGCAAGAGAGTCTGATCCATGGCTCTGACCTGCAGGTGGACAAGGAGCAACTGGGCTTATTTGAACGCTCCGCCGGACATACCAGATCATCCAGGCCACGCTCGCCACCGCCCTTACGTTCCACAGCACGACTTTGCAAACCGTCACACTAGATCCATCTCTGCAATGTAACGATGCCCCAGGAAGCTTGTATAATCCACAGTGACAGCCACGTTGTGTACCGAATCCTATAAGCCCTATCGTTGTGTTTTCTAGCACTGTACTACAGTTTTGCACATAAAACCATCAACTGCACAGTCTGTATGTATGTATTTATAAATGTAAAGATAGGTAGATAGATAGGAATTCGGTGAACTGTTTCTCATCTCGCATATTGTGTTATAGCTTTTGAGACGGAGTTTATAGGTTCACGTCAATGTGGGCAACATATGTGCTCATAGTTTGCCCTCCGCTGAGGTATCATACAAGAATCAACAACCTTAGTATCAGAATGTAACATTACACAGACAGCGGAATTAAAAGGTATTACCAGCAATTGTATGCAGCGATTGTTTCCGTTCATGAATGGAAGGCGATCCATCCACCGGATGCCAGTTTGAAGGAAAACATTGCATGCTGCTAAGAGATTCTTAGAGTTTCTTTTCTTCTTTTCTCTATATTCCTTTTTAAAATGTATTGTAATGTGTAAAAGTGTAGTTGGAGTTGATTACTCTGTGTTTTTGAGATGTCTGGATGTTAAGCTTAATGTCAAAAATCAAATTATATTTTGTAAGGGGTTACAATGTATGATTATATATATATATATATATATATATTTACACATATCAAAGGGAATATTAAATTGACTCGCATATTTCTTAAATTAACTCATTTTTGGTAGAATACAAATCCTACTTCTAGATCTAAATTCTTCTCTTAGATCTACTTTGCTCAAAGAAGAGGTCTATACAGCAGAGTAGATTTAGGAGATTTAAAGAGTGGAGTAGATCTAAGCATATCTAAAATTAGAATAGATAAAAGTAAAGTAGATTTGAAAACAAAGTTAGTAGATTTGAAATTATTTTAGAGTGAAGTAGATCTAGTACAAGTCGGATCTATATTCTACTAACAATGTCAATTTAAGAAATATGTGAGTCAATTTAATGTTCCCTCATATATATATATATATATATATATGTATATAGTTATATATTTGTATCTTATAATGTGCATTAATATTAAAAGAAGTGAAAAAAATTAAGTATGATTTTCTATGGATTGTGGTATTTCATCAAATCCTACATATTCAAATCTAATAGTCTTCTTGAGCATATTTAAACTCAAGTTCCAACCTTCTTTTTGCAAGTGAGGATGCTTAAACTAATACTACTTTTTTTGGTGTATATGCAATCCACAATGCAAGCATTTGTCAACTTTGATTTGTAGTGCTTAAATTACCACAACTTTTATAACAATTTGTTAAGATTCATAAATGATCTCATTAATAAGAAAATCAAACTAATTTTCTTTTGCAATTAAATTTTTATCTACTCTTATTTGTTTGTTTTTATACTTTTTTGATACAAAAACAAGGTATACTAGATGCATTAAAAGCTTGTAAAAAATACAACAAAATACTTAACTTTCTACACCCACAAGAAAAGCTAATAGTACTAAAAATATAAAATAATTATTAAAGTAAGTTCATTTATAGTTTTATATACAATCACCTTATATTGAGGAATTGTAGAATATTATTCTAATTCTAGAATTCTATTTTATCGTTTCTAATACTAAATATAATTTGTGCCATCATTTCTATAAGTTATCTCATCTTTTGAGTACGAAAGACTTGTATTGCAAGTATTTTTATAATTTTTTTATCAAATTTCTAATCAATTTCATTGACACTCACTAAGGCCTTTTCAAATCAAGTTTTTGGCAACGAATTGTCACCATTGAAAATTAATAACACCAATTTACAGTTTGAGATGATGAACTGCATGATCAATCAAAAAAATAAGAATAAAGTTAAGTTATTGGATGAGTTTGATGTGATGGTAAACATTAAATAACCCGAATATCTACTATAGAATATCTATTCCAGCCAACATCAAATGTTTCTAATACTAAATATAATATGTACATACATATTATCAGAAACGTTCCATTTACGCCACGTTCTTTTTTTTTCGCTTTCTTGTGTGCAATCAAAGGATATCAAGCAACGGAGGCTTCCGATGTGAGGGCCACAGTCTGGTCTCATTCGTCGTGCAAAGCTCTTTCCATCTTCGAATCTAAGATTTAGAAGAGCAATTTCGAGACTGAGAAACTTTAGGTAATTTTGCTATGTTTCAAGTGAAGATGAGTTGCTTTCATTTCCCACCTGTAGATCCCGCATTCTTGTTAACAGACTTGTACAACGATGTACATATTTGATGTAACTCAAAGAATAATATTTGAGTTACACCGATGTCACTTTGCATGTGCTAGTCGTCGGCGTAGGGTCAGGCAGCCACGCAGCGGCACCCACATGTTCAGACACCTCCATGACTCCCACCTGACCTAAATTAAGCTGCCGCATTCATATCCACGTGAAGAGTCCGCGGCCACAACTCAACAGCCATTCCGAAGAGTGACGTCCCTAGTACTGATCAGCACTTGAAGTGGAACGAGATTGTCGCAGCGGGAAGGGGACCATGAAGAGCCAGGCTCTCCGAAGAAGACAAGCGAGACTCTTGTCTACAGACAGCACAAGTCATCAGCCGATGCATCAGTAACCTCTCCCTACGAAAACAATGAGAATAAAGATCATTGAACCAGTGGTGCGGAGGGACAGATTTGGAGCCACGTCCGCTTTGTTACTAAATCAGAAGGATAGGCTGATACAGGACACCAGATAAGTGCCAAGAGATCCATATCTGCCAGTAGAGCTGGCCTAGCTTTGATCAGGCTAGCTAATTTATATGGTGTGCTACATGATTGATGTTTCATTTAGAGTGGTGATCGACGCGGACGGTCTCTCTCCATGGCAAAGCCAAAAGCATAATTGACCTAGTTGTTGAGCCTTGGCTTAAACTATGGTAATATGACGCCCTGCAAGCTGTGTGTTGCTACATTGGAATCAAGTGTAATTGATCTAATCTGCAAGCTGGTTCAATCTAGATCGATCCTTCCAATAAAATTGATCAAACATCTCTTTCAAAAAATATTAGAAAAAAAATGTGAAAAAGGTTTGGGATACACCGTTGTTTCGGGGGATTTGTAAATAATTGGTCGTGGATTGAACTTCATCATTGGCCACTAGTTGTCGATGTAAATATAATACAATTCCATTTCTTGGAATACTGAGCATATCTACAAAATCGATCCTCATGAGCACTCTCAGAAGTTTTCCTTGTGGAAGGAGAATTTCGTTGAAGACGTCTGTGTGTATGATCTTGATAGGTTCTCAAGTTCATTCGCAAGAGCTGCAGGACCACAGTAAAACACCCCTGCAAAATGTATAATCAATTACAACTTTTAGGTTCTCAACCTTGCATGTACTATAGTGCTGATACAAATCAGCGGGGAGGAGGGCCCCAAAAAAACCCTTCAACAGTACGGTTGACAGATTCATACCGATACGCTTGTCCTGGTGGGTGGCAGTCAGCCCCGAGAAGACGCTCTTCCAGTTGGGTCTGGCAAAATGTGTGCGTGCCTGCCAAGTGAAAAGAAGGTTAATTCATTACAATTGTACAATAGCATGCATCAAATAACTAGAAACATGTAGGAAATAATTCTAGATAAGAGATGCGAAGTCTGAAGAGTGGTGTGGACACATACGCGAGTGCCTGAAACCAGGTCCACTCCATTCTTAGCGTGGTGCAAGGCTTGCAGCATCATGACCAACGTGGACCGAGCATCACCTTCCTCATAAACGCTAGTCAAATAATTGTGCATCTCAATAGACCTCTGCAAATACCATGGCGCAACACAACAAATTCAGTTCTCTAATAGATCGTCGGAGTCTCGAGAAATTTAAAGCACAACAAAAACAAAAAAGATGCAATCACCTTGTTATCAATCTCCTCAACTTCTCGCATGACTCCTCTGAACCAATCGAAGGAGCCTTGCTCTCGGGTAATCCAGTAAAAGTATGCCTTGGGCTTCCTCTTGGCCTTCTTCTTGCTTCTAGTTCTGGGGCTTTCCGTTGGGCGTAAGTCAGGAGTTGAGCTCTTAAATCACGCAGAACAAGTCTAGTCAATCATTGTATCCTTCAAAGAAAATAAAAATAAGGAACATAACGTAGTTCTTAGATGAGAAAAACCTAGGCATGTAGGACAGTGGTCAGCACCGGATAAGAATGTCCCGACGAGTCGTTTCGGGTATGGTGAAGCATGTCCTTGAGGATGCTGATGAATGGTGTCGCCCCAATCCCGAGTCCAACAAGAAGGAGTACGTCATACTTGAGATAATCTTGCGCAGGAGCACCATAAGGGCCATCGATGTACAGCTTCGGAAATCTGTGACAACAGGACCGATAGGTGAGATGACCCACTAAAACTTGGTTACATCAGTATGCAATTCTTAACTTTCAGAGGGCTTGTGTGGTGTTCAATGGTATGGCGATGAAAGAGTACCTTGCAGCCAAAGTCAATTCACCACTGAACCCATAATTATTCACAGTTTGCAGGCGCATACGCCCACCACAAGCATCCGCGAAGATTTTCATCATCTCACCGGTCCAGTCACCAAGTGTACGGATATGTACACTCAAAAAAGGATCTTCCGGGGCAGAAGTGATAGAGAATGGGTGCCATTCAAACGAGGAGATTTCAGGACACTGCAAGAATAGGTACATGCCACTCTTGTACTTGAAGCCCTCTGGTTTGGACATATGAATGGCGAGGACGTTGCCGGAGTAAATCGCCGCCTGCTCGCATGATGAAGGTTTATCAACGCCACACCTCAATGTTGTACAAGAATTGAAAAGTAAATCAATTCACACGTCATCAAGGAGACAAACGGCGAAAATTACCTTGATAACGTCCACCTTGCTGGAATTAGTTCGGTACATTCGCAGGAGCCGTTCTCCCGCATACAAAAGCAGAGGCACTGCAATGTACATCCATGTCGTGCGCTCATGCCATGGACTCGGGAGAAGGAGCTTAGTTCCATGCAGAAGGAGGAGGGCATATACGATGACGAACAGGTGATGCGAGTACCAGAACGCGTTGAACCCCATCAACCGGTGGAATGGCCATGGCAGCTTGACCAGGCTCCGACGGAACCAATGAGTTGCCAGCAAGAAGGCGATAATCATGATCACGAGCATAATCACACCACTGTATCCCACTGACATATTCAGAATGTCAGAGTACGTAGGTTGTGTATCGAAATGGTCACCCAGATGCTTGAAGAAAGTTTCTTTATCCGCATTGACGAACCTCGGGAGATCACAAGTTGCGTGGCAACCAACGTGGAGAAACACCCCTGCTGCCATGCCTCCGGCGACAATCTGCACAGATCATGACACTATCATGCATTCTGGTGTCTGTTCTCTTGAATTTTTTTCTGGTTGTCAGAAATGGGGCTGAAGAAGGCTGAGGAGGTAAAAGAAGACTTGACTTGCCTTGTGGAAATCGAGATTGTCGTCAAACGGGATGATCTTCCACAATCGCGTAGACCGCAGCCTTGTCAGAGTGTTGCGGCAGACGGGGAGGAGGATGAGCGCCATATTCAGCTTCAGTGTCTCAGCTGCACCTTTCGCCACGCAGAGACAATCGCCCATGATCCACCATGAACTGCGATCCCGGTACTGGAGAAATTTCCATGCGAAGAGAGCCGCCATGACCGACATCCACAGGGCGAGTATCCATATTCGTTTCCAATTGTCTAAAAAGAAGTGGACACATTTCTCAGCCAATTTTATTATCTTGGATCGTTCAGTTCTCGTTGTCAATACATGGGTGTAATTCACGGTAACCTCCCTCCCAAGTCCCAGTATCGATTGGCGCATCAGAGTCTCCAATTGACTCAGCTGCGAGCACCCAACTCCCATCCATTAGTGCCCGATCTCTCCATTTCTTTGCAATTTTCAAGAGCTTAGTTTCGAATCGAGGAATCACAAGCAGGTACCTCAATGTAGCCGACGCGATCCACGTCGAGCTCTTCCATGATCAAGGCTGCATATTCGGCGGCCTGATCCTTCAACTTGGACAACTTATTCGCACTCGCACTCAACATTATTACCTGTTTCACTTCCTCGCCGGTGATGCGACCATCTAAATCCTTGTCACACCTGCCAAGCGGAAAAGGATCAGGTTGAATCCCTTAGAGAAACTCATGCTTCATTCCAGACCGGGTGTATTGCATTATAATGTCCACGAGATTTGCAACAGCAGAGGCTGAGGCAGGGGATTCAATTACAAGCCCAAAAATATCTGCATCCGAGCGTCGAAGCTTCTGTCCGCAACCTGCAACCAGTACTCGTACAATTCATCTTTAGTGATGCTTTCCACCTCAATGCCTTTCCGACGCACCAGAGCGTCGAAGAGCTCACTTGCAAACTCCTTGGAGTCACTCATCCCTGTGCAAAACACCACTTCCTTATCATTTCTCAACTAGATGTCGCTCAGCGTTTCATAAATGTTGAATATACTACGTACAAATAGCTCTTTTGTTGTCAGAACCGGCTGTCAACGACACACACCGATGCATTCGGCAAAATTGGTGCGATGTAGCATATTCTCTGAGTCGGCGAGCTTGAGGAACCGCGCCTCTACTTGCTCCCAGGACTTCTTTTGGTCAGCTGTGGCGGTAGCCTTGCTGATGTATCGCAGCCCCTTGATCGCATATTCCGCCCGAGAAGATGTACTCCCCTGCTTTCTAATGGAGGTACAATCTCCAAGCTCAGGGTCGGGAACGCCCCTATAGGACGGTGGGCTGCCCAAGTCTTGAACCCTGGATACATTCCGCGAATTCCTAGCAAGGTCAAGGCTAAACTGCTTCACTAAGCACCCCACCGTCTTGATGCTTTCCCTGAACGAGCCTGAGTGACACGATGAGGACAAGACACGACTCAAACTACTCGGTCGCTGAGCATCGCAATCATTCACAATGCTTCTCCCCTCCCACTTCTGATTCTCTCCCGATATCGCAATCTCAGGAATGTCTACTGGGCTTATCCTACGCAAGGTAACATGTTCCTCACTCAAAAGAAAACTTAGTTCCCGCATTGCAGGTTCCATTAGAGGGGCTCCTTCATCCCCTTCCCGCAGCTGCACAATCGTAGGGGCATTCCTCCCCGACTGCACAGTACTCACGTCTATCGACACTACGTCGGACCCTTCAGATGCCAGTCTGTTCTCTGGGAACGGCTTGCTGAACGAAGTCTCCTTGCCCGCAAGCAGCGAAAGACAGCTCGGCTTACCAATCTCCATAATGAAAATCCCCCAGGTTCTCCACTTTGCCCTGCTTTTCTCTACAGGGACATATATTATTCTCACGTGTTGCTACCAAATTGGAGAGCAACGAGTAGCAATTGCAGGTAGCATCTCGCACTTTGATCCCGCAACGCAAGCAACGAAGCCACTCTCACGAGACTTCTTGCTCGCTTGGTACAACTGAAGGTCGTACACGTGTTCCAGTGACACAGAAAAAATTGCAAGCAACAAACCGGTCCCACACGCACTCGACTTGGGCCAATGAAGTTTGTGTTCTGTAAGCTTTAGACTTGGTGTGCACATGTAAATAACTCCAGCCACCTATCCTACTCTTCTGCTATAGCATCAACCTGGTTCCATAGTCCAAGCCGTGGTGCTCCTGCAACCTTCAAGTCACGACTTCAGCTCCGGCTCGAAAGGGGGTTAGGAAGAGATTGGAGGATAGTACGTGGTCACCGACAGGTTACCCGCCAGTTCAACTCAAGCCCCAACTTAGCAACTCCACAATGCAAGATGAGGTCGTCCAGAGCCTGGAAACAGTAAGTCAATCGCACACATCGACTGAATGCCTCAAGCAGCCTTCGTTCAGCACCTTCCAAAGCAAAAACTCATCGTCTAACGAGAACTATCAAAAGCAAAACCTCACGTCGAAGCTCATGCGCTCGTCTCACGCCACTCACCTCCAGCACCTCCACAAGGCTCCACCGAATGTCGGACCTGCGGAGGCGCTTTCCTTACCAATGCAAAGTCTAACCACCATCACCCACCACGGCCAACACAGTCGCGTCCCCACAGAGAGGTCTACAGGGACGTCAACACTCTCCAGCTGCAACTGTTGTACTGCCTAACTCTGATTCAAGTCGCCCACAATCCCACATCCCTCTAAGCTCCCTTGTTAACTCCCTCTCCTGCAATAGAAACAAGCTATAACTCAAGCATTACAGCCCTCGCCACATTCCTTGCAATGCAGCAACTGGAGCTGTATTCAGTCCATGCAACCACCAATCTCTAAACCTCTTAAGAAACAGACTCTATCTAACTTATCGACCTTCTCTCGAATTAACTATCTGTAATAAACATGAAAATTCCGAGAAGATATGTCGAGCCAAGCCTCCTCCTGGACTTCGGTTGCAACGTTGCTAATTACCAAGTGGAGCTTTGTTGGTGGAGACAGCGCGGCTTAATGAGCCAGTTCTGGCAGTAGCATTAAAGACGACGGGAACGGGCGTCGACGGCGAGGAAGACGTTTCGTGCCCAAGATGACGAATAGCGGACGAACGATGGACGTAGAGAACTTTTCGTCGCCCTCGTGACTGAAACGCTGTCGTGGTGGGATTCAACGGCCGTTCAACAACAGGGGAGCTCCGGTATATTCGTCGACTGGTGGACTGATAATGGTCAATTCCAGTTGACGAAAGCTCAACGTCGGGTGACGTTTCGTCGCGCTCGTCAGGACAGTTAATACACTGAAAGGCAACTAGTCTTTGTGGAGCAGAAGCTTCAGTTTTGAGTCGGGAATGCTGAACCCTAAAAGTACATTAATTTTTTTTCTAAATAAAATAATAAAAACAACAATTGTTTCATAACTGTTGCAATGTTGGTGTAGTGCTACTCCTTCTTTTCTTTCACACATGGGTACATTTCTTTGTGTGCTTTTTTCTGCTTGCCATCAAAGCATAAATGTTTCAGTATCATTGAAGAGGGTTTTTCCATGAGGTCTGTTTCACACATTGAATTTTAGTGGGTCTTTACACTTATGGGGAGAAGGTGGAGATTAGAACTTTTAAATTCTTTGATTGGCTGAAATTTAAAGAGAATTTTAGAGGCTTCTTAATTTGGGTCAATTAGAGAATTTCAATTTTGTGACTGATGGCCTTCTCTTCTATAAATAAAAACCCCTAAGTTACCATTTTATATGTTATTATAATCATTTATTTGTGTAGTAATTTTTAATTCTATTTAGAAGACATGTAATAGTTGTTTATAATGTATGCCTTGTTTGAGGCTTGATTACCAACACACACACACACTAAACATATTATTTTTCTTGTTCTTCAAAAAAATCACTCCACTAATGAGCAACTTATTTTGCATCACATTGTTCCTTGTCAATACACCATTCGATTAACTATAAAGCTCTAACAAAAGTTATTAATTTAAGAAGTATAAAACCATTTAGAAGGTGGTCCTGCTCTTGATGTCAGATCAAATTTATGACTGAAAGTTCTTCTTGGTTGAAGTTCTTGAGATAACTCTTTTATGATAATATTGGTTTGTTGTTAAACTGATGACACAATTTTTTAAACTGTCTACATTTTTTAATTACAAAGTATTTCTTAAAAAATGAAAGGGAGTGAAATCAATAGCTTAATGCATTTATGGATTAAAGAGAAATTGAGTCTACAACAAAACAAAAAAAGAAAAAAAGAAACAAAAAAAAAATATATATATATATATATATATATATCATTTTAAAAAACCTCTTTATTTTAAAAAAAGAAAAAGAAGTTGGCCTTAAAGAAGTTGGCCTTTTTTCTTCTGAGTTTTCATGGACATAATGTGTTCAAACAGATTATATTTAGCAATAACTATTTAATAAATTTTCAGATTTTGAATTTGCTTAATTTTTGGATATTGTCTAAATCTTGATTTCTTCAACATGGAATTATTCACATCACTTCTGGTATTTGAAAGTGATTAAATTTGACACAAAAATATCTACAAAAAATGTGATTTATATAAATAAAAAATATATATAGGATTCATTTTTTATCACCACTTTAACTTCCCAAATATAACCAAATTTGTTTTTGAAAGAACAAGTGCTTGATTTGCAACACATATACTAAAAGTCTTTTGAGTACCATTTCTTTATTTATTTTTATTGAATAATTTTTAAAAATTGCTTAAAAACCTAACTTATACAAACTTGCAAATCAAAGAATTGTGGATTGTTCAAAATGTATAATAAACTAATGCAACCACATAGGTAATGTTTCTTATAGAAATTTTGAATAATATGTTTTCCTTTTTCTTCTTTTTATTTTTTTTACAAAATTCAAATTAGTGCATTACTATATGGCATCTTTTTTGAAGAGTTGTAGTCACTTTCTTATTTCTTCTCCTTTTACTTGGATAATCTTAACACATTGTACATACATCACTCCAACCAACCCCAAATGTAGATTTTATAAACAATAAAATCAATTTTATTATATGAATGTGGATTTAGGTTGGATTCTATGTATCAAGCACTTTGACTTTGCATTACAACATTTAAATCTTGTGGTACAATGAAATCATCCTATTTCTTGAATTATTTTAACCACACACCTTTCTTTTAGAACACTCAAATAACTACTAGTATTGGAGCATTTCAAGTTGAATATTTAGTTACTATTAATTCCAAAGTTTAATGGACAGTGTTCCTTTTTCTTTGTTATTAATTCAAGCAATTTTATACAATGAAGGTATTGTAAAATATAATTAGATTTATTATTATACTCTTGCAATAAATTTCAATAGTGAACTAAAAGTAATTGTGTACTATAATTTTAATTACAAAATATAGGATTATGTTTAGTCCACCAAAGGGAATTATGGAAACAATTCTATTTTATGGTGCTCTACAAAATTTATTTGCAAATTACTGGAAATTGAAGATCAACGTCTTGAGGATACACACTAATGCATGTAATTAAAACATCCATTTTGGTTTCATATCACTCTGTTTCTTTGTTTTGATGTAAAGAAAATAAATTCGGTCATGCTGTTATCGAATAGGAAGGAATTGATATTAAAATTAATAATAATTTACAGGAGGAAGCATCAAAATTAAAATGAAGTGAAGTAATAGCATAAAATAAAATGGGAAATATAATGTTTTGAATTCAAACCAACATATAAAAATCCGGTCTTTCCTTAAAAACTCTCCACTTTACCTTTTCATACATCGAAACAATTGTGAAGCAAAATGCCCACACAATAAACATAAATAGATAAACAAATAAGGTCAAAGAATCCTGTGTACATAAGTAGTACAATACCTTATTCATACTGGTGGTGTACACAAGCTGCTCTGTAGATGAATTTCCCTCTTCACTCATGCAACAGTAGTAACACCATTGATAACAATGTTCTGTTATATTTATATTTGCATAAAATTTTGTGTATATTTGAATAGTTATGCTTTTGTAGACCCCCAATCCGCAACAGTGGTGATGACCCAAAAAGGCTGATTCCTGTGATTAGCATAAACCATAATTCTGATAATAGGGCAGAAGCCAAAGTGGGGAAAATAGGTCAAAAGGGACTGTGGTGCACACAGACAAAGCCTATTGATGGATGGAAGTCTGTGGCAGAATCACAAGCCCTCCATAGCTCATGTCCTTGTAGTTCTTTCACATCCCCTCCTCACATCACAAGCTTTTAGGATTTCTTTGCTCTTGTTAATGTCTTTTCTTATGTCAATATTATCAAATACTCATAAAATTAGGGTATTTTTGATGCCACTACAATTTTTTCTACTTTTTATCACAATTTGCCATCCACTGTATATCACTATATATATATTTTTTATTTTCATTATATATATATATATATATATATAGTTTGAAAAAAGAAAACAATATAAAAATATTGATAATTTTTTTTAATTGGAATAAAAAAAAACTAAAAAACTACATTGAATGAGTGGTGGGTTGTAATGGCAATAGCAAAAACTGTTGTGACAACAGTTATTATTATTAATATTATGATAATTTTCAACTTCCAATACATTGTACTAACAAAAGTCACTACAAAAAAAAGGTTTGCATGTTAAAAGAATAACTGAAACATAATATTGAAATGCCTATATTTTATTGTATGTAGTAAATGTGTGCAAAATTTACCTTGAAAAGCCATGTTGTAAGATAGCATTCATATCAAAAAGCTAATAATAAAATAGTGGTAATCATATTAGTAATAAAGCAAATACAAACTCCAAAACTGTGGATTTGGAGGAACAACAATTTTCTAATAAGAAGACTGAAATAAAAAAGTAAAAACAAGGAAAAAAGACTGTCCAATGCTCATTTATATTCAATGTTTTTCTAATAATACTAATAGTGATAAAATATAATTTAACACACATGAATGATATCCCAAATTGAAGCGGTCACATTGAGTGGCACAACAAGATTGCATCTAAGTGCAGACAAACATAGAAACCTCTATTCAAGATTGTTGCCAACACCTTCTTAATGAAGGCTTCTATTGAATATTACCTTTCAAAGGTGAGGGTAGCCAACACTGGTGAAATTATTTGGAAACAGAACTAAAAACTAAATGAGGGACAACAGAAGTTGATCACCTCTCCAGTCAATCAGCTGCTCAGATTTGCATGGTTTAAATTTTGGAGTGTAGCATAAAGTTGCAAGCTCTATAAATGCCACCAACCCACATGGGGACATGTTTCATATAGGGTTCATTTTCGGCATCAGTATGTAGAGCTCACATATCGTACCTGAAGGGTTTTCTGTACTTGTCAAGACTGCCATAAGTCAGGTTCAGAGCGAGCTGCTTGGCCTGCACCCACCAAATTGTCTTGAGCCATCGAAATCTTGCATCGAAATCTTGCATCGAAATCTTGCATCGAAATCTTACATGAGAGTAGAAAATGTAGACAAGCAGCTTTTTGTATCTACGCTATGATCATAAAGATTAAACCACTATTGTCCATGTTTGCCTCAAAAGCAGTTCGGGGTAGATTTCCAGTACAGCAGACAACTGCTTACTCTTCGTAGATTTAAGCATGAATAATTACATGCATTTATGAGCGAGCTGCTTACCGAATCCTCCAGACCACCTGCAGCAGTATTGCTACTCATGAACTGACACAACAGGTTGTCAAGTCTATCAGCGTTCGTCACCACTACCACACGGAACACAACAATAATGAGGTGGAATAACAGTTTATGAAATTTTCCACTTTTAGGGACGGATTCTCAAACAACGGAGTCCCAACGCCATGCTGAAAATATCCGTGCAAGCAAGTTCGTGACACAAACAACCCATACGCCTTCAAAAGACCTCTAGAAGCACATTGGTGACAGTTGCTAGAAACTGCGAACATCTTAGTTTCCAAGCTTGGTAAGGTTTACAGCCACGCTCAAGAGTTACACCAACGGTGAGAATTTAAAAATCTCGTGCTTGGATCTGCTCATGCTGGCCATGTGGCTGATGATTTCCTTAGGAGAAAAAAAAAAACCAGAGACACCAGTTGACGGTCTCGGTGCTTTAGAATTGTGATATTGCTGACATCCCGCTGCTGGGCAATGCCACATTCCAATCCCAATTTACAAGAGCACCAGTAACAATCATGTGTTGCAGCTGTTTGATTCATGCTCCCAAATTGAAGGCAGTGAAGCTCAACGACTCGTAGAAGACTGGAGAGCAAACCTCAAAGCTAAAATGCGATATCCAGATTGAGCACACACTTTTCACATTTTGTCAAAATTGGAAACAATGTAAGAAAACGGTGGAGGTGGGAATCGAAGTAAGGAATCGTTGTGTGTCGGACTAACAATCGGTGTATAATTGCTCCGACTCCTAATCACTACATTTGTACAATTGCAAGTTCAAGCTCCAGCTCTTCCCCCACCCATCTCGCGAGCCTCTCGTTCTGCCTCCCTCTTGATAATATCTTCCCATGCACCTTGATTCACAAAATCTATAGGGACACCCGTGCCGACTCGTAACCCTAATTGCACAAGCCCTTCGCTAGTAACGATCCGGAAATCGAAGTCGGGATTCAATGCAGTGCCCAAAGTTCCAGCCTCAGAAAATCGCTCCTCCAGTTCGTCCCAGGTGAACAAGAGCGGTAAGGTTGAGCCTCTCCACGTGTTGAAGTCTATCAATTTCACCTTCTTATCCTTCGTGACGTAGACATCAAAGGTGTAGTCACCACCGCCAAACTCTTCCTTCAGATTGTCCAAGAAGAAGTCCAAAATTAGGTCAGAAAGCTCTTCTTCTCTCCCAAGCAAAGTTTCGTAAAACCCTGTCACCTCTCTTTGGCAAACCCCGACAAGAAGGTTCCCGCGCACAAACCCACGGAATTCCAGCTCCGGCCTCAGATCATACCACTTGCGCAACGCCAGGACCACCTGGAAAGGCCTTTCCATGCTCTTGTCGTCGCAAGAATCGAACGCGTGACAAAGATCATGGACGACATTGTCGGACGCCTTCAGCAGCAGCGAAACCTCGCCAAAATTCTGGCATCTCATGCTCCCCGTGGTCGCAATCCAGGCTGTGTCCTTTGGCGCACTCCAATTTAGCTTGGGGACAACCGTCCCACCCAAACTCTCAATCGCCGTCTGTACCTCTGCTGCTAACTCTGGGAATGTCGGCACCGCCGGCACGCCAGACTCATCGTCCTCTTCCTCCCAGTGAGAATAATCCTCTGCTTGAAGCTGCGGCATGTCCACACGCGTCCTCGAGGGCATTGCATCGCTATCCGCAGGCAGAAATATTCCATCTTCCAGAAGAAAACTCACAAATTCCTCTGGTAGTTGCACCACTTGCGTCCTAATTGAATGCGTTCGAAACCTGGGATACCATTCTTGGATCTGACACCGCAATACATCCGACTCTTTCATTGCTATCAGCGGTAATCCTCGCCTTATCCCTATCTCTCCGCCTAAACCCTAAACACCAACCCTGCACAAACCCTCAGAAAACCCTGCAGGATTGTTCTTCGAGACTGCAGTCTTTGTAGCAATATAACAACTCACGCCTTCAGATACTAAGTTAGCAGCGGATTCAAGAGCGAAGGTAAGATGCCAATGCTTGATCGATTATATTAACAAACAAACAAACAAACAAACAAACCCCCGCAGGCCAATTCGAGGGTTCGACGAAAACACAGTTCACATCGCAGACGCTCGGTGTTGGAATGAGAATGAGGGCGTCACCTGTCTGCGTCGAATACGGTATTCCAACATACCTACGAATGTTTCTTCGTATATATTATTTTCGTATTTTCACCGTATGCTCTCAGAAAGTAAGGTATTTCAGTTCATTAATGATAAAATTTTGCAAAAAATCAGAGATTAATTTTTTTAGCTAAATTTTTTCTGTAAATAAGATTGTGTATACAATAAAAATAATAGTAAAAATAAACTCAATGATTGTATCAACAAAATCTCTTGTTGGAAAGAAAGATAAAACACCAATATAAGTTTGAGAGGCCATTTTATTAAAAAGGTAAAAATTCTAGCTATGAAGAAAAAATAAATTTCAAATTTGAAAATAGAAAATCCGTAGGAGAGAATAAAAAAGAAAAAAGAAAAAAGAAAAAACATTGATTCGACTGATAAATATTCTAATTTTAAACAAAAATAAAAATAAAATAAACTTATTATAAAGAAGTAGAAGGACCTTATGGTAGATTGCTTGATTGCAATCATAAAACAGATAGAGAATTTTCAAAGACAAAGAAGAACAAACTTTTCTTCATTCAATGTATAATCTATAAAGATTTAGATTTCTTGCTTCAAATATTTTTACCTAAAGGTTCATTTATTTTTATTTTATTATTATTTTATTATTTGAAAAAAGAGAAGAAAAGATACATAAGACTAAAAAGTCCTAATGCCTTCTCATTTTTGCTACATTTGATCTTACGAGATGGAAGATTTATAAAAAGATAGTGTTGTGAAGACAATGGTTTGATTTAAATTAAAAGACCTCTGACTTTCCTTTCCTATATACTATCCACTTCTTTCCATCAAAATTGCATTTTTATATATGTGTTTTTATCTTATAATTATATTTTAACAAAATCTTACACTTTATGCTTTTATGAGAGTTTTTATTTTTATTTTTATTTTTTTATTATATTCTCAAGTCCATAAATTAGACTTTTTAATCAAGGAAGGATTTTTTTTTATTTTTTATTTTTTATTTTTTTTTATAATTTGAATTTAAAATTGAATTTAGGATTAACAAAAACCTATGTAAAACCTAAATAAGACATATTCAAATATATAAATGATGTCACAACGACTCAACAACATTATATTTATGCATGAATTACATTTTAGTAGTATCTTCAACTTTGTTGATGTCTTGGTTATCTTCCATATCTAATGAGAACAACTTGTTGTTGAACTTGACCAAAGTCTTAACAAACACAAAATAGTTTGTCTTGATAAAAATAAGCTTTGGCACCTTTTAGGTATTCAAAAAAATTTGCAACTTAGAATAGATAAACTAAATGTTGAGATTTTTTTTTAGAGTTGCATTTAATGTAGACATTATAAACAACTTATATGTGATGTATTATAAGAGCAACCATGCAAATCTATGGAGATGCCAATATTTCAATAGGATCTTAGTTTTATCAATTAGCATTTTAAAGTTTGTTTCAAAGAAACTATTGAATGTACATCTTTAAAAGAATTACAATAACAACTTAACTAACAATGTTTTTCTATGCCTTTTTGCTTCTAAAAGTATTAACTATCACTGTTCTAGCAAATTTAATATTATTATTCTATATGATATTTAAAATCAATTACAATCTATCTTAAAGTAAAAAATTATAATTTTATTAAAAAAATCTAAAAAGAGATTCAATTAAAATGGATTTAAGCCATATAATTAACCATTGACTTATTGGGGATATTGGATCAAGAATAAAAAATAAGCTAGACCATAGGAGATGTTAACCTCAAAAATTGACTATACTTGTCTTTAATTTCTAAATAAGATTATTTAAAAAGAACATTTTCAATATTCTTGTGATTAAGAAGAAGGTCGTTATAAAACCTCAGTACTTTTATTACAACTTTGAGGTTTTTGTCTTTGATTCTTTGGAATGTAATTTTCATCACAAAATAATATATTATCAAATGCTTTTGATACATTTTCTTGATAGTTGTAGTGACCTCTAGTAGTATGAATTTGCTAATCACAATTTTCTTTTTAGACAATAAAGGAGCTAAATAAACTAACGTTGGAAGCTTGTTCTTTTTTATTGCCATAGCTAAAATATTGTTTGTGAAGACCTTCTTAAATACTAGATTTTTTGAGACACTTTGCCATAAATTTAAAAAGATGTGCATTTTTTACAAAGATCGACTATTACTTATTTATTCTTCTTATAAATAGAAATGTTGTTTTTATAGTGTTAATATATACTAAAATTTAATATATATAGGTTGATAATATTCGTGATATTAAACTAAAAACAAGTATGTAAATGACTACATTTTTTTTTTACCATATTCAATGTTCATAATGTTATTATTATTATTATTATTATTATTATTATTATTATTATCATTGTTATTATTTTTTAAATGAATTATTTTTGCCAATGTTATAGGAATTTATTTTGATAATAGAAGATTAAGATTTGATTGTGCTAATACATTGGTGATTATGTATAAAAAATTATATAAAAAAAAAACTTGTAAGAAATTGGGTGGCATCATTATAAGTTGGTTAAACAATTAATATTATGAATATCCATCTAAGGAAGATTTTAGAAGATTCTAGAAGGTTATTGATATTCCTAAAAGATTTTAGAAGATTCTAAAAGATTCTAAAAAGTTATTAGATGAAGTTCTCAAGGTTGCTCGACTACAAAATAACATAGAAAGTCACAAGAAAAGGTTCTTAAAATTACTTCACATCAAAATAATAAGAAAACCACTCAAAAAGTATCTTAGGATAATCTAGAGGCAAAGCATTCTACAAGAAGCTACTCAAAAACTTTTTAAATCCTAATATACATAGGTGTCAAAGTTGAGAAGCTCTTTAGTCTAGATAATTCATGTTTTGTAGTCTAATTTGGATCTTCTAGTCTTCTTCTTATTTGGTATTGCATTGTTTTGTATTACTTAGGCTTTTGAGGTTATTAACAATCATGGAATATGATCTTATGAGACTTGACTTGATACACAAAATAATAATAAAAAAAAAAGACAAAGATTAGTTTATTACTTAGTTGGAATTATATGGCTTCCAATCAAACACTAATTTGACTTGTGGTGCTATTATGTGGAACTTGCTATGTACTTTGTTACTTCTTGACTACTTACTAAGTGCTTTTCTTGATCTTTAAGTATCCGTCTATCTTATTTTGTCTCTTATTAATTTTGACAACCTTGTAATGGTATCTTATTTCTTTACTTATTGCTCCTCTAATTCCATGATGTCAAGGTACTTTGGCGGATATCATATACAAGTAGGTATGGATTCCTTATATGGATAATATTATCACAATCAAATGTAGTTAGTTTAGACATGTAATATTTTATTACTCGAGATATCTCACATCTTATCCTCAAGTTATTTATAATGTAGATTTTTTTTTGGATTTGGATTGCATGTCTAAGAATATTTATTATAAGGTAGTTCCTATCCACCATATAATTTAATAATTTCTTAATTTTTTTTACAATACATGCAATAATACTTGTATTAGATTTTCAATGCATGTTGATAGATGTCAAAAATTGAACTATGTGTAGATTTTGTAAAGACCAAATAATCCACCTTGTTAGTATAGATAGAATATCTTTCTTTGAGATATGGATGTTTGGCAAAATGCTTTAAGATTATACATTAAGCCTCCTCCATATTGTCGATCTTCTCATTTAAGCTGCTATTATAAAAACCATTTTCAATCTAGATGAAGATGGATGTATTATGATCTTGTTCTATTGATAGAGGTAGATCTTCTTCACCTGCTATGTTTATTTTTAATGTCATGCTTTTAAGATGTGATTGTAGCTAATTGATTGTAGCCAATTGATTGTAGATGCTAATGTCGCTTGAGCCTCTTAGTGTATGGTGTTGAGAGCTTATAATTATTTGATTTAAATTTAGGTATATTTTTCAAAGCTCTAAAGGCCATTTTTTTTCTTGTATCACTTAAATTTGATTCCACAGCTCTTGTAACTTATCCTTTATAAAGATAAAATTATACTTGAGTGCCATAAGTTTGTTTTAATATTAGCAAATTATGTGATTTTTATTTCATTTTATTTTATTATTTTTTAAGATGGAACCACATCCTTTCTATCTTATACATTGCATTTCTTATATCTTGGATGCTCATAGATATCATCAAGGCATGATGCAACAATTCTATATCGTGGTTCAATTCATTGATCTATAATTATAATATTGTGTTGAATTCAAAATATTCATAAATTATATCTCGGACATAATCTTCACAACATTAAGACTTCATGGTTTTTTGTTGGCCAAGACCACCAACTTATGTATTATGTGGCATAAAATTTTGTATTGCAACTAGTCATGGCTCAGTTGATGGTTTCTTTATTCTTCGCTAGTAAGTAAACATCTATTATGACATTCAAAATAATTTTGACTTACTTGCAAAAAAATATCAAAGAAAGCACACGAAAAATGTGGATATATTCCTTAATATTATATTTGATCTTGTGATATCATATTGTATCCATTGACTATAAAAGTTTTGTTGCTAATAATGTCATTGTAATTGGAATATGACTGCTCATACTTGGATCTATAGTTAGTAACTTCTAAGAATTTAAATCTAAATATCATCTAAAGATAGTTAATATTCCATAAGATCTCATTATCCTTGACTATACCTAGGTACTATTCATTTGAGGATTTGCACCATGCCATACTTTGTACAAACTTCTAATACCACTTCTTATTTATAATGGATAAAAATTGACAATAATAACTTACTAAAATTATACCATTGATCCATTTATTATCATATATGTCAATCCATGCTTGTATCTTGGTTATTATAGAGAGTTGTAGATAGAAATATGTGACTATCATTGTGGAAGAAGAAAACTTTAGAGACAAAAATAAAAAATAAGAAAGCAAAGAAATAAGAAGATATAATATATTAGAAGTAAGATTCTTGTTTTGTTTCCAT